ATCAGATAAGCTATAGAGAGGAGAACATGCATATCAAATGTCAATTTGAAAAAAAGATTTTTTGAGTTCTGTGGAAATAGAAAAAAAAAATCCATATATATATATATATGTATGTCTCCATGACCGTAGAGAGAATATACATTACTGTACTAAAATGACAGATGTTGTGTTCTGTGGTAATTAGAGCAATGCCACAGACAGAGTTAAGGTCATGTTTGGAAATGCATTTAATAATTGTATGATGTCTGGGGAACTGACTGTGCAGTAAGAAAATTCTTAGCATTTTAAACTATATTTTAAATCTATACAGCAGAGGGCACTAGTGTTATTGAATTGACCATAGAGTTGATATTTTGGTACTAGAAGAATGAAGGAAAAAAAATCACTTAGAAGACAAAATGTTGTCAACAAAGACTAAAGAAGCTGGTTGAGGGTCTGTGTTCCATGTGTGGATTTATATAGCTAAACCTTCATGTGTCTCTAGTATAATAGACAGATACTGAATAGCAAATTACTCTAGTACAGAGTTCCAGATGGATCTTTATGTAAAGCCCATTAAAATATTTCCATAATGTTCTTCAAAGCTTTAAATGAATTTTCCACTGTGTTTTTGTGCTAGCTAATTTTTTCCAGAGTATTTCGAGGGTATTTATGATTTAAAATTACCGTGATGTGAAATGACTGCACCGAGACTTCCTGAATACTTAAGCTCTGAGCTGTGGAAAACCACCAGTATAAAAGAAAGGATCTTTTTAATACATTTCTACTGCCACTAGGAATCTCACTGCAGTATGTTAGCCTCACGCAAAGCTCACCAGTTGGAAGAGAGGACTTGCAAGGCATTGCCTACTATATTTTCTGCTGGTCATGATGGCTTTTTGAAATCATCAGCTGCACTGTACTTCAGCAGCACCAAGCCCAATTAGTGTGGTCTTATGCTAAATACTTCATTTTGCTTCCTGTATTACCAAATAAGAGGGAAAAAAGTTTAGTAATGTAAATAAATTCAAAGTTAAATCAAATGGTTGCTACAAAAGGTGAGATTGGCTCTCACTGCCTCCCAGAAAACATTCCAGAGGAATGGCAATATATACAGTACTTATATATTAAACAAGATGCAACTTAAACACAGAAAAATCAAACACACCAACACATGTGAAAACATATCTTGAACTTTCCATCCACATCTCACAAAATGGTGATCCTGTCTTCAAAATTATACACTCAGAGCAGCTAATAAGTAGGCAGTGACCAAGCTTGTATTTGCAGTATACGCAGATTTGAATTTTGCAGAAACCTGAGGGTTGCAGAATTCCCTGCGGGTCTTTGATAGATTGTAGTTCTGCGGCATATGTTTGATTGAGACATTTCTAGCACAGGACTGGGGAAAAAGGTAAATGTAAAAGCCATGGGCAGTTTTGGCCTTCAGCACAAGCAAAGAGCTGTTCTATGTGACTGATTCATAGTTTGAGTCAATAAACACAAATGGGAGGAATTTAGGGAATTTATTTTAAGACGATAAAACAAAAGCATTTTAAAAAAAAAAAAATTTACAACTGAGACATGGAAACATTTTGGGTTGAACAATTTTTGCTAATCAGTCTCATAATTGGATAATTTATTTTCTATAATAAAGTACTGTATTCAAGTAAAATGTTTTTATCTTTTTTTACCCATGGAACATATGTACAGTGATTGAAAGAGAAAATTTTGCTGCTTAAAGGAGTAGGTGAAGGGAATGGAGGGAGATACCATCAGAGTCAAGAAGTCAGAACTGGAAGGAAGTGCCTTTGAGTTCTTGAAGAATGGTTTGGCATCATCAGCTTTATGGAGGCTGGCAAAGAATCATCTGAAAGGAGTTTATGCATACATTGGCTGATGTTGAGGACACTTGCTGTCTCATGACTTTTCTGTCATGGTTTAACCCCAGCCAGCAATTGAGCACCACGCAGCTGCTCGCTAACTCCCCCTGCCCCCCAAAAAGAGATAGGGAGGAAAATCAGGAAAAAAAATGAAACTTTTGGATTGAGATAAAGACAGTTTAATAGGACAGAAAAGGATAATAATAATAATAATATACAAAACAAGTGATGCACAGCACAATTGCTCACCACCTGCTAGGCAATGCTCAGCTAGTTCTCAAGCCACGGTGCACCCCTGGCCAACTCCCCCAGCTTATATACTAATCATGACATCACATGGTATGGAATACAGCTTTTGCCAGTTTGGATCGGCTGTCCTGGCTATGCCCCCTCACAGCTTCTTCTGCACCTCGTCACGGGCAAAGCATGGGAAGCTGAAAAGTCCTTGACTTAGTATAAACATTACTTAGCAACAGCCAACAGAGTAGTATGTCAGCAACGACCAAAACAGTAGTGTGTTATCAACATTATTCTCATCCTAAATCCAAAACACAGCACTATACCCACTACTAGTATGAAAATTAACTCTATCCAAGCTGAAACCAGGACACTGTCTTATTTTTCCTATACTTTCTTGTTCTACAAATCCCATAGTTTTGCCAGTCCTTCAGGGTATCCCAGATACAGGAGTGAGAGTGGAAAGTAGCAAAAAGAAAAGTAGAAAAACCATATGGCATCTTGCAAAGCTGGCATTTAATAGTGAATGGGTCTGAGACAGAACACAGAAGATTCCTGTATCTCTACAAGCCACACGGGCTCCTGGTGCCACACCAGCCATACAAGGATAACTGGCACCTCTGAAGCTGGATGTACTGGGCTGAGTTCTCATCTCAGTTCCCGTGAAGATAATAACATTGCACCAGTGCAATGGTTAAATAATTTATTTGGTGTGTTTATGTATCTGTTTTATTACTTCTTAATGGAATTCATTATTCAGTCCAGGTCCTTAGGGGCTAAGTTTTAGAAGAATTTAAAAAAATGAGAAAGGAAAGACAAAACTACTGAATAAAAAAACCTCACTTAGTGACAAACAAAAATGCTAATACAATCACATTAACTATCACAGAAGATGGTTAATTGCTATTCAATAGCAAAATTCATGGATCACAGTTCTTAACTAAGGAGCCTGAAATTGATATTAAACTCATTGAGATAAATATTTTGACCAAAACAGGCAGATTCTTCTTCATAACACTGTAAGAAAGATGGAAAACAGGTCCTTTTCATCCTCTGTTTGCAGATTTACTACAGTTGGATTTTTTATGTAAGGGAACTTGAATTTTAGTGATTAGTTTGAAAGTGTTTCTCCATATATTGTGCTCAGCACCTTTGAAGAGATAATTGACCTAAGCCTGCCGTAAAAAGGAAGGTGTGTACTGTAGGCACCCCTCATCTAGTCTAGTACATTATCCTAAAGCCAGTGTTCGGAACTACAGTTGTCGGCAGAGGGCAAGGATGGAGAGGTGGGAGCAGTAACATCTAACACTACAGCCACAGGTTTCTCCAGAGTCATATGACAGAAATGTAAGCCACAGAGTTGAGTGACTTGCTCAAGGTTGCAACACACATTAGTTTCATGAATCTTTCATAACAAGAATGATGTTTTATAAATAGCACTTACAGAACAGATCAAACAAACAGATACAGCCCAGATTTTCCAATTCCAATTCACAGGTTTTTAACCATTATATTGGCTTTCTCTGCAGTAAATTATTAAAAGTGAGATGAGAACACTTGCTATTCTGACCCATTATTACAAGGGTTTTTTTAAAAAATGCAGAAATGAATTCTCAAAAACACATTGTCTGAATATGTAATTACAAAAAAAAGTCTTTCATTAAATGAATTGCTGTGAGATGCAAGTTAATATATTTTTTCCTGTATTTTTTTTAAAGAAAGTTTTGGGGGTTTTTTACACAAAATGAAACAATTCAGAGCCTGGAGTGGAAAACTGTTGCCTTATAGTATTTTGTTTTACTGAATACATGTATTATGCATTTGGGTGCTCTAGGTTATAAATATGGTTTAAGCTTGCTGTAATTTATAAGAGTTCACTTTCGGCTGATTTATAGGAAATTTCATTAATCTCTACAGCAGAAGGACCTTCCACTGAGCAGCAGATTGAAAATGAACTGAGGGCTGGGGGGTTTTAAGAACTACCACAAATGAATTAGTACTGAAATTCTTAAAATGGTAATGCTTATTTGTAGTGTAAAGGTCTTTTTCCCCCTTACAGTAAGATCTGTAGGATTTCTTAGAGGTGCCAATGAAATTGCCAACCCTAAAGCTACAGAGATATTTTTCAGCATTTAAATGGCTATTCTGATTTCTGTGTTCAGTACACATTTACTAATGAGTGTTTCTCTGCTGCTGGTGCCAAACAAAAGAGTTGAGGAGGAAATATCATGAAATTGGATGTTGCTGTTTAACGGTAGGGAAGAATTGATGCTCAGCATGTTTCTTTTGTATTTTATTTTTTTAATTTGAAATAGGCAAGATTTTGCCCTGACATTTGCATGACCTGATACATTCAGTATTAAAGGCTTTACTTCTAGTTAAACTCCAATGCAGGAATTATGTTTGTATAGACAAAGATTTTCACCCATACAAAACAAGAGTGTCCACTTGCTCTTCGTATTATCTGTTGTCTTGTCTTATAATGTATCAAGAAGGTTAACACCTTGAATATTCCGATGATTCCTATCTTATTTATTTTTGCCTTTTGATGCCCTTGTCACTTCTTTTAACTCTCCCCCTGAGTTAGAACATTTATTTTAGGTATCCACTGTAGCTGAACTTAGTATGTGCCATCCAGCTACATGCATTCTACATTGGAATGAGCAGGAAAAGCTGGTGTCTGGCTCTTTCCTACCTCATTGCTAATTACAGCTGACATATATAGCTGTACAGGAAACAAAATATTAGAATTTCTATAGCTATTGTCACTACAGAGTTTCATGAAATTGGTAGAGTTGACTGAAAGGACTTGAGAAGTCTTTGTTTAGAGAGCACACTTAAATATTTGAGATTAATTTAATGTTCCCCTTCTCCTTTCTTTCTTTTTTTTTCAGGCTATTCAAACTCCTGAAGGACCAACACCAAATAAATTATGAATGTTGAACAAGATGACCTTACATCCACAGCAGATAATGATAGGTCCTAGGTTTAACAGGGCCCTATTTGACCCCCTGCTTGTGGTGCTGTTGGCTCTTCAGCTTCTTGTGGTGGCTGGTCTAGTCAGGGCTCAAACTTGCCCTTCTGTCTGCTCCTGCAGCAACCAGTTCAGTAAAGTGATTTGTGTACGGAAAAATCTGAGAGACGTGCCAGACGGCATCTCCACCAACACCCGGTTACTCAATCTTCATGAGAACCAGATCCAAATCATTAAAGTTAATAGCTTCAAGCATCTGAGGCACCTAGAAATCCTGCAGAACATCAGAACAATTGAGATAGGGGCTTTCAATGGTCTGGCCAATCTCAACACTTTGGAACTCTTTGACAATCGTCTGACCACTATCCCAAATGGGGCTTTTGTATACCTGTCAAAACTGAAGGAACTGTGGTTGAGAAACAACCCCATTGAGAGCATCCCTTCTTATGCTTTTAACAGAATCCCTTCTCTTCGGAGGTTGGATTTGGGGGAATTGAAAAGGCTTTCATACATCTCAGAAGGTGCCTTTGAAGGTCTGTCCAACTTGAGGTATTTGAACCTTGCCATGTGCAATCTTCGAGAGATTCCTAATCTCACCCCGCTTGTAAAACTGGATGAGTTAGATCTTTCTGGGAATCACCTGACTGCCATCAGGCCAGGTTCTTTCCAAGGGTTAATGCATCTTCAGAAATTGTGGATGATACAGTCCCAGATTCAAGTAATAGAAAGGAATGCTTTTGATAACCTTCAGTCACTTGTAGAGATCAATCTGGCACACAACAATCTAACACTACTGCCTCATGACCTGTTCACACCACTCCGCCTAGAAAGGATCCACTTGCATCACAATCCTTGGAACTGCAACTGTGATATCCTTTGGCTCAGCTGGTGGATTAAAGACAAGGCACCCTCCAATACTGCATGCTGCGCCCGTTGCCACACACCTCCCAGTTTAAAAGGAAGGTACATTGGTGAGCTGGACCTGAATTACTTCACATGTTATGCTCCAGTCATAGTGGAGCCACCAGCAGACCTCAACGTCACAGAAGGCATGGCTGCAGAGATGAAATGCCGGGCATCAACCTCCCTGACCTCTGTATCTTGGATTACTCCAAATGGATCTGTTATGACGCATGGGGCATACAGAGTTCGGATTGCTGTGCTCAGTGATGGCACATTAAATTTTACAAAGGTAACTGTGCAAGACACGGGTTTGTATACATGCATGGTGAGTAACTCTGTTGGGAATACCACAGCTTCTGCCACGCTGAATGTGACTGCCCTGGATAACCCTGGTTACACGTATTTTTCAACTGTCACAGTAGAGACTGTGGAACCTTCTCAGGATGAGGCACAGACCACAGAGCAGGTTGGGCCCACACCAGTTACCAACTGGGAGACCACTAACATGACACCCTCACTCACTCCACAGAGCACAAGATCAACAGAAAAAACATTCACCATTCCTGTGACGGACGCAAACAACGGGATCCCAGGAATAGATGAGGTTATGAAGACTACCAAAATCATAATTGGTTGTTTTGTGGCTATCACTCTCATGGCTGCTGTGATGCTGGTAATTTTCTACAAAATGAGGAAACAGCATCACCGGCAGAACCATCATGCTCCAACACGGACTGTAGAGATCATTAATGTGGATGATGAGCTTACAGGTGACACACCCATAGAAAGTCATTTGCCCATGCCAGCAATAGAGCATGAGCACCTAAATCACTATAACTCTTATAAGTCTCCTTTCAACCACACAACAACAGTTAACACAATAAATTCAATACACAGTTCAGTGCATGAACCGTTATTGATCCGAATGAACTCAAAAGACAATGTACAAGAGACTCAAATCTAAAACATTTATGACATTATGGGAAGGGGGTGGGGACAACAAAAGATGGTTTATAAAACAAATGACACAAATGACTGGGCTAAATCTACTGTTTCAAAAAAGTGTCTTTACAAAGAAAAAGAAATTTATTTATTAAAAATTCTATTGTGATCTAAAGCAGACAAAATTATGTGTATTCCTCAGAACCTGTTTTTGCTGCACTTATTTACCCTCCTCGTTCCCTTTTTCCTCCCCAACCTACCCTGATTCCCATTTGCCATATTTTTCATAGGAGATCTTGATTCCCTAAAAGAACTGGTCTAGGAAATTTTGTAAGAATTCTGTTACACTTTGGGAATTTTTATGGTGAATTCTAGTGGTGAGATTCGGTCTATTTTGTCACTTTTTCTCTTTTTTTTTCCTTTTGTTTTCACATGCCTTTTTGAAATTATTCAATAGAGAGTGGAATAATAACAGCAACTTTACAAGTGAGAAAAAAACCAAGCAATTTTTTTTTCATGTAATGATTTGCTCTGTATTTACCAAAAGCACCATTCTGTGAAAAAATGAAAGAAAAAGTAAAAAAAAAACCAAACCCACAACCAAAAACCCCAAGAAATCAATTTACCTGTGAAAACCTATAAAACCCATCATCTTTTAAACAATTCTAGAACAAGAATTTGTAGTTCAAACACTAAACTAAGATTATAAATAAAATATTGTTTTTTCTGTACTTGGTTTAGCTCATTTTTAGTGTGGCTTTAATCTTCAAAAGTTTGTTAAAATTCTCATGATATTCTGCTGTGATGGTCCAAAACGCAATCACTTTAAAGAGAATAATTAAACCATTTTGGATCATTACTGAAGAATAGCATAGTTTTCATTTTAGTTTATGTAAGTAGCATCCTGGCTAACAGCGGTGTTTGACTTTTAATGCAAGATTAAGATCATTCCTTCCAATGGTGTTTTCAATTATCTCTATTCTATTGCAAGATGTATTTCACAATGCCAGGAAAAGTTTTGCAAGGAGTTTCAGTTATCATCGAATTTATTAGACAAAGCTGAAAAGTTTGTTCTGTTTTTTGTAATTTATAACTGTCAATAAGAGAATTCATCTTTCTATCAAAGCTAGTCATTTCAAGTTCAGTTGTTCTGGTACTCCTAGACATAAATATGAAATATGCTTGGCTATCTATAATACCTATAATCAGAGCTGTATCCTTATGTGCAAAATGAAATCAAAATGCTGTTAACAGAGTAACTCACAGGAAGAAGTCCAAGGATTTTGGTTTAAAAAAATAGAACAAAGTCAGCCAGATCAGAGTATGGGTTACTGTAATTTGTATGACAGTTAGAATCCTTGTAGAGTAACCAGTTTACATCAGTTTAAATTCAGACTCATTTACCAATAGGAAATGTATACCCTTTTCCTTTCTATTTATAGAGGTTCTTTAGATTTCGCTTATTGGTATAGGAATGGTGTATACCTTGCATGCTGAAAGCTAAAAGGAAGGCTTTACATAAGAAAACCAGCTTCAGGACACTCTGTTCTTCCAAGCAGAAGTTCTGCCAAATTAAACTACTTTATGCATTGGCAACTGAATAGAAGCATTTTAAGATGATTTAGATTAAGAAAAAAGAATCATATATATCATCTCTGAATGTCTTTTCACCTATTTTCTTCCTTCACCACCACTACTGTGAGTTTTCAGGGTCCAGTGCCAGGTAAATAGTGTTCTTTCTTCTTATCCAATTCTCTTTGGAGCTTTCTAGTATGCAATAACATGCAGGATGAAGACCTTATTGAAGAGCATATTTCTATTCTGGAAATTTAAGAAGGAATTTCTGGTAGGTTGAGAGGGTAAATATCTCTTGTTGGATGTACAGTTCTCAAGGTTGCAAGTGAATATTGTAGTAAGAAGGCCTGATTTAAAGAGGACACAGTGGAGATAGGTGACGATGAATCACACAGTGCAAGGAGTCTGATAAGTATAATACAGAATGTAACCCAAAGTTCTATAATAATCTCAAAGAAACATTTGGCAAGACATTATCCTTTGATGTACTACATGAAAAATAATATCTACTCTAAGGGAATTTTAATAGAGGACAAAGATGGACCTGAATGTAAAATATTGCAGTTGTGATTCCTAGCTTTGCCTATTTCTTCAAAGTGCATTAGAGCATTTCGTTGGTGATTTCTTTTAAGCATTGTGATACAGTCTGTACAGACACCCTGAATTACACATTGCTATTTGTACTTTGCTCATCTGACTAGTAACATTGGTCCATGACCAATGCTTTTCTGAAAACTGAAAAAAATTCTTTCCAGGAAACCTAAATCTGAGCCAACTGTAGTCAACAGGTTTATGTTAAAAAAATTATGGCTACTGTCTAGCCAGTAGCTGTGAAAGCACTTATGGTCACTATGGTTTTATAAACAGGTAGTTTTTACTAATTCCTAAAGGTTATGCATAGGAGTCTTTAAGAAAAAAAGGTATAGCTATTGCCAAGCGGGACACTGGGTCAGTGACAATCATTATTCCTCTTTGGAGTAATAAAAAATAATATCAGTGAATGTTTCAAACAATAATATATATTCTTACCGAGTGTTAATCTGGTTTTATTAGCTAATTAAAAAAAAAAAAAAATCAGATATTCCTGCTTGCTCATAGTAAGGATGAAGAAAAAGCATTTTGGTATGTTTGGTTGGGTGAGTATACATGTGTTATGTGGAAACCATATTAATTATGATTTTCCCAGCATCTTCCTTATCCTTCTTGGAACCACAGAGATTATTTCTGACTCCTTTCAACTTCAATAAAACAACCAGTACTTTTGCAGATTACTTAAATACCAGAGTTAGAGAACATCACAGTTTAAATTATGAACTGAGCTCTGCAATAAAGTGAGAGGAGTGCTGTACTCTCTTGTTTTGGTACTCAAATCACATGCTGATGAAGCCTGTTACTGCTACAGAGACTACAATGTTAAGAATGAAGCCTTGGTCTCCTACCAAGGCAGAGCACAACTGATAGAAAGCTCTAATGAAACTTCTCTTGCAGGTGACCACATTGTAGATGGTATGTGATGTAAAAAAATTGTGCAAAAGAATTGTGATCTTGATTATGAGCTATCACTTTCTAGTGGGCTCATGAGAAAAGCTGAATTATTCTTCAGTTCATTTGATGGAGACTGAAGATGTTTGCCTGCTGTCCTATACAAATAGAAAAGTGCAAACCATTTTTCTTTCTGGAATTGTCATCAAGTCTTACAAATCTTGCCATATGCAGAAATAACATGTGAAAAGCAAAGCAAGTGAGTTCCATTCAATTCACCATATAAGATGGCCATTTTATTTTACTTTGAAAGGAGCTAAACGTATGAAAATTATTACAGTAATTGTGGGGGTTTTTGCTAAAATATTCTAATACATTAAAATTATATGTAATGGTTTCAACATTCCCTGCCCCCACTGATGGCATTATAGGTTGATCACAACATTAGAGAAAAGATAACTAAATTAATATTGTACTTAGTTGTACTAGCATCATAGTCTTGTGAAAATATTTCATAAGAGCTGTTATAAGCTTTTATATGTCAGATATGACCATCACTATAATCTTTTCAATGAGGAGAATGGAAAATCTTTGCAACCTATTCGCCCTTCTCTAAAGCTTATATTCCATTTTTTACATGAGCTAAATATAGCATTATTGAAATTTTCACTTTTTTTCTAGGTCCAGGCAGTGAAGGTCTAGGAAATGTTAGGGGCTACCTTGCAATTTAACACCAAAAGAAGTAACTGAAGAAATAATTTATCCTTATCTTCAAGATATAGTAAGAAGAGTTAGACTTCAGTGTCTGAGTTTCTGTTTTTCTTAGTAGAACTATTTAATGCATCTTTGTGTCATTTGTGCAGATGATACCCAAAAAATTCTCATTTCAATCTTGCATCTAAAATTCAATCTACAGTTAGTCTGAAGGTAGTGGCAGCCATTTTATTATGGAGGTGGTATTATATATTAGTATTGTAGTAGACTAACACCCAGCGTAGTAGACTAACTAGTGTTAGTAGTAGACTAACACTACTGAAACAGCAAGGCTCCATGAGCAGGGGATGGCCTTGGGGAGACTCTGGGAAACCTACCCAGTAAATCTGCAATTTCTGCTGGCCCTGCAGCCTCGCTCTGTAGTGGTGCCCAATGGAAACACTGTGGTTGTGCGTCGTTTGTGGCTGGAAGAGTACAGCAGGGAAGAAGAGCTTGGGGTTGGGTTGGGAACAACTTCATTGGCCCCACTCAAGAGCCCAGATGCAGAAGTAAACAGGGAGTTATAGCTCAGCTTCAGACATGCAGTGTATGACTAGAAATGAGGAAATTAGGGGTTTTTATCCCATTTTATCATAAGTAGGTTTTAAGGCTTAGTGCACACTAAACAATTAAAAACTCGAAGAATAAAAAAATGTTACAGATCTGCAGTTTAAGTTTTATACAAATGGTACAGTCATATTTTGACAAAATGCTAGTGCTGATTTTAAGGAGTCTTAAGATCTTAAGATCTTAAGGAGTCTAGGAAAGTTTTTTTTTCAATATTAAGAACTCTATTAAGGCAAATTAGATCTGTTTCAATAGCTACATGCTATTTGTTTCAGTAAGAATAAGTCATTATTTTCTTAGGCAAGATCTGTTAAACAAAATATTGTGTTTAATTTGTCTTGGTTTTAGTCCTTGTTTTCATACGTTTCTAACTTACACCTAGACTGTCTGTTAATTGGAGTGCTCTCTAAAGGACTGAATCAGTGAACCCTGACTGACTTTCATAAGAGAGAAATCTTTCCTATAATGTAACTCCAGTGAGGTATGGAATTCTGGAATCGGGAGAAGACACTGAAATGATGACATCATCAGATGATGTTTATGGCTATCTTTTGTAGAATAAGAAAGAGGAAAATAAAGACTGTCATTTTTGAGAACTTTGAAAACCAAATCTTATGTAAAAATGGGAAACCTTAATTAAAAAAAAACAAAAGTAGAACATTATTCGACTTGAAATTAACAGTAAGATGTAATGATTAAAGCAAGAAGTGGGAGTCGGGAGTCTTATATCACAGATAATCCTTACATCTTTTCTAACAATTTGCAAACTCAAAAATTTTAGTTACTTTTCTATGTATCATTCTGCTTGTGCAATGATTCTGGCTGTCCTATGCATAGTTTTGTGTTTTCTTCTTAAATTTTGCAGTACAGTTATGATGTAATCTGGGCTTTCAGCTCTGGAAGTTTCCCAAAGAGAGCATTCAAGGGAGTTCTCTGCTAAGTCATCCAAACTCCACCCATTGGAAGTTCATGTTTAATACTCTCTGGGGCTTTTCCCAATCTACTTGAAATGGCTTGTGCAGTGAAAGATTCCTTAATTTCTTTTATTGTCTACTACCATAGCAATATATGATTCATATCATAGTTTGGAAAAGATGGTTTTGCATGGATT